AAGAGGATGTGATCAAATAGACATTGGTTAAAGGAGTGCCAACAGAGGGTGTGATCAGATANCTTGTCTGGATTAGTCTCGCGTCCCCTCCCAGACTAACGTCCCTTTCAATAAAGGTCTTGTTGTCTGAATTAGTCTGGCGTTCCCTCCCAGACTCGCGTCCCAATCAATATAGGTCTTGTTGTCTCGTCCCCTCCCAGACTCGCGTCCCAATCAATAAAGGTCTTGTTGTCTGGATTAGTCTCGCGTCCCCCCCCAGACTCACGTCCCTATCAATAAAGGTCTTGTTGTCTGAATTAGTTGAGCATCAATTCCAGACTAACGTACCTATCAATAAAGGTCTGGTTGTCTGGCTTAGTCTCGCGTTCCCTCCCAGTCTCCCGTCCCTGTCAATATAGGTCTTGTTGTCTGGATTAGTCTCGCGTCCCCCCCCAGACTCACGTCCCTATCAATAAAGGTACTGTTGTCTGGATTAGTCTCGCATCAATCCCAGACTCACGTCCCAATCAATATAGGTCTTGTTGTCTGGATTAGTCTCGCGTCCCCTCCCAGACTAACGTCCCTTTCAATAAAGGTCTTGTTGTCTGAATTAGTTGAGCATCAATTCCAGACTAACGTACCTATCAATAAAGGTCTTATTGTCTGGCTTAGTCTCGCGTCCCCTCCCAGACTCGCGTTCCAATCAATAAAGGTCTTGTTGTCTGGATTAGTCTCGCGTCCCCCCCCAGACTCACGTCCCTATCAATAAAGGTCCTGTTGTCTGGATTAGTCTCGCATCAATCCCAGACTCACGTCCCAATCAATATAGGTCTTGTTGTCTCGTCCCCTCCCAGACTCGCGTCCCAATCAATATAGGTCTTGTTGTCTCGTCCCCTCCCAGACTCGCGTCCCAATCAATATAGGTCTTGTTGTCTGGATTAGTCTCGTGTTTCCTCCCAGACTCATGTCCCTATCAATAAAGGTCTTGTTATCTGGATTAATCTGAATTAGTTGAGCATCAATCCCAGACTAACGTACCTATCAATAAAGGTCTGGTTGTCTGGCTTAGTCTCGCGTTCCCTCCCAGTCTCCCGTCCCTGTCAATATAGGTCTTGTTGTCTGGATTAGTCTCGTGTTTCCTCCCAGACTCATGTCCCTATCAATAAAGGTCTTGTTATCTGGATTAGTCTCGAGTCCCCGCCCAGTCTTACGTCCCTATCAATATAGGTCTTGTTATCTGGATTAGTATCGCATCCCCTCCCAGTCTCAAGTTCCATCCAAGACTTCATCCCTATAAATATAGGTCTTGTTATCTGGATTAGTCTCGAGTCCACGCCCAGACTCACGTCCCTTTCAATATTGGTTTTGTTATCTGGATTAGTTTAGCGTCCGTGTCGATATGGGTCTCGATACCTGGTTTGTGTTAGTGCCTATAGGTTCAAATCAATAACTTATAATTTATAATTAATTTCTTCTTAGTGGACTATGTCTTTCTTTCGTGTCAGCTAAAGTGACTGATTGAATAACTTCTCACCTCCAGGACCTGATTTCTTAAGTTTGCAACAAGCATTGATCCAAAGCCTCAATGTAAACTTCAAAAATCGTTAAATCTCTTTACATTTATCAAAAAGCATCGATAAATTATTCTTTTTCCACTTTTCCTACAGACAATGAAAATTCTGACTTAATTGATCATGCTACCCTCTTCATATTTATGTGTAATTAAGAATTCTGTTTTACCTATCAGACCGGATCTTTTTAAGGAACCCCTGTCTGGTTCGATAGCAGCAGACAACTCTGTGACATCTTTTTTTAACAACAAAAATCTTTAATTAGGGATACATGTTATCTGGATTAGTCTCACGTCCCTTCCCAGTCCCCCGTCTCTATCAATAAAGGCCTTGTTGTCTGGATTTGTCTCGCGTCCCCTCCCAGCCTCACGTCCCTATCAATATAGGTCTTGTTATCTGGATTAGACTCGCATCTCTTCCCAGACTCACGTCCCTACCAGAAAAAGATCTTGTTTTCTGGATTAGTCTCGAGCCCACGCCCAGACTCACGGCCCTCTCAATAAAGGTCTTGTTGTCTGAATTAGTCTCGCGTCCCCTCCCAGACTCGCGTCCCAATCAGTATAGGTCTTCTTGTCTGGATTAGTCTCGCGTCCCCTCCCAGACTAACGTCCCTTTCAATAAAGGTCTTATTGTCTGAATTAGTCTGGCGTTCCCTCCCAGCCTCGCGTCCCAATCAATATAGGTCTTGTTGTCTCGTCCCCTCCCAGACTCGCGTCCCAATCAATATAGGTCTTCTTGTCTGGGTTAGTCTCGCGGCCCCTCCCAGACTAACGTCCCTTTCAATAAAGGTCTTATTGTCTGAATTAGTCTGGCGTTCCCTCCCAGCCTCGCGTCCCAATCAATATAGGTCTTGTTTTCTGGATTAGTCTCGTGTTTCCTTCCAGACTCGCGTCCCTATCAATATTGGTCGTGTTATCTGGATTAGTATCGAGGCCCCGCCCAGTCTTACGTCCCTATCAATATAGGTCTTGTTATCTGGATAGGACTCGAGTCCCTATCGCGTACCTTCTCAGTCTCACGTCCCTATCTATATAGGTCTTGTTATCTGGATAAGTCTCACGTCCCTTCCCAGTCTCCCGTCCCTATCAATATTGGTCTTGTTGTCTGGATTAGTATCGCGTACCTTCCAAGTCTCACGTCCCTATCCATATTGGTCTTGTTATCTGGATTAGTCTCACGTCCCTTCTCAGTCTCACGTCTCTATCAATATTGGTTTTGTTGTCTGGATTAGTATCGCGTACCTTCCAAGTCTCACGTCCCTATCCATATTGGCCTTGTTATCTGGATTAGTCTCACGTCCCTTCCCAGTCTCCCGTCTCTATCAATAAAGGCCTTGTTGTCTGGATTTGTCTCGCGTCCCCTCCCAGACTCACGTCCCTATCAATATAGGTCTTGTTATCTGGATAGGACTCGAGTCCCCTCCCAGACTTCCGCCCCTATCAATAAAGGTCTTGGTGTCTGGATTAGTCTCGCATCAATCCGAGACTCACGTCCCTATCAATATAGGTCTTATTATCTGGGTTAGTCTCGTGTCCCCTCCCAGACTTACGTCCCTATCAATATAGGTCTTGGTATCTGGATTAATCCCGCGTCCCCTCCCAGTCTCACGTCCCTATCAATATAGGTCTTGCTATCTGGATAAGTCTCGCGTCCCCTCCCAGTCTCACGTCCCTATCAATATAGGTCTTGTTATCTGGATTAATCACGCGTCCCTCCCAGTCTCGCGTCCCTATCAGAAAAGGTCTTGTCTTCTGGATTAGTTTCGAGTCCCCTCCCAGTCTCTCTCCCCTCCCAGACTCACGTCCCCTCCCAGTCTCGTTTCCCTTCCCTGACTCACGTCCCTATCAATACAAGTCTTTTTATCTGGATAAGTCCTGCGTCCCCTCCCAGTCTCGCTCCCCTCAAAGACTCACAATCACTCCAAGACTCGCGCCCCTTCCCTGACTCACTGCCTTACGTCGCTATCAATAAAGGTCTTGTTATCTGGATTAATCACGCGTCCCTCCCAGACTCAAATCCCCTCCCAGTCTCGTGTCACTTACCTGACTCACGTCCCTATCAATAAAAGTCTTGTTATCTGGATAAGTCTCGCGTCCCCTCCCAGTCTAGCTCCCCTCACAGACTCAACATCACTCACAGACTCGCGCCCCTTCACTGACTCACTGACTCACGTCCCTATCAATAAAGGTCTTGTTATCTGGGTTAGTGTCGAGCCCNCCCCCTCCCCAGACTCACGTCCTTATCAATATGGGTCTTATTATCTGGATAAGTATCGCGTCCCCTCCCAGTCTCGCTCCCCTCCCAGACTCACGTCCCCTCCCAGTCTCGTGTCCCTTCCCTGACTCACGTCCCTATCAATATAGGTCTTATTATCTGGGTTAGTCTCGAGTCACCTCCCAGACTCACGTCCCTGATAATATAGGTCTTGTTATCTGGATAAGTATCGCGTCCCCTCCCAGTCTCGCTCCCCTCCCAGACTCACGTCCCCTCCTAGTCTCGTGTCCCTTCCTGACTCATGTCCCTATCAATAAAGGTCTTGTCATCTGGATTAGTCTCGCGTCCCCTCCCAGTCTCGCTCCCCTCCCAGACTCACCATCCCTCCCAGATTTGCGCCCCTTCCCTGACTCACGTTCCTATCAATAAAGGTCTTGTTATCTGGATTAGTCTCGAGTCACCTCCCAGACTCATGATCACGTGCCTGTCAATATAGGTCTTGTTATCTGGGTTAGTCTCGAGTCACCTCCTAGACTCACGTCCCTATCAATAAAGGTCTTGTTATCTGAATAAGTCTCGATTCCCTTCCCAGTCTCACGTCCCTATCAGAAAAGGTCTTGTTATCTGGATTAGTCTCGAGTCCCCTCCAACACTCACGTCCCCTACCAGTCTTGCGTCCTTCCTACAGTCACGTGCCGGTCGATAACATCCAAAGAAGGAACAAAACTTACCAAGAGACACAGCAGCCATCAGCAGGAACCATTTCGCCATCTTGTCTCCTGGCTGACGAGTTGGGTCCAGCGTCCTGTGTGTCTGTCGATGTAGATGGAATTACCTGGGTTTCCACGGTGCCTAGATTTTCCTATTACGTGTTATTAATAATTAATTTTTACCTTTTAGACCGTGTCTTTCTTAAGAAACTCTGGCTGGTTCGATAGCATCAGAAAACTCTGTGACGTCATTATTTTAACAACAAACATCTTCACCTAGGAATACATGTACATGTTATATTAATGCTCACTACATCTCTTCCTCAAACGATTTTCAAAAGAAGGAACCTGTCAAAAAGTCAGCTACGAATGTTAATTTGATCATTATGGCATCAAAAACTCAATACAGATTTATCTTTTTCCTAACTAAAGCAAGATTGCACCTGTTAAGTATGGCAGAAACTTTGATCCAAAACCCTGAATTATCAACTAATTCGTAGCGTCAAATACGTACTGAATATTAGACAAGGATTTACAAAGGTTTCGAAATATCATCATTGAAATCAATGCTCCGTTTACATGTTTTTCGAATCCATAGTTGCAGAGAGTCTTGGAGTTATTTTCACAGTTAAAGTTAAAAACAAAATCAAAAAAATCGTCATCTTTAAAGGTTAAACTATAATATTTGAAAGATCATTCAAGTTGTTTGAAGCCTTGAGCAAAGGTAAATGAAGCATGCGTCTTATCAATACTTATTAATATATTCTCCAGTTTATATTATTGTCCTTGACGTAATGGCGTAGAAAACAACATACAAAAAGCATTACATTAGGAATATAAAATTGACTCAATGGTCATTTTATTAACCTTAACACACATTTCTATAACGCATTTGGCTTTACCTGCGATATTTAGATATGTTTTTACAACACGATGTACATGTATCTTTCAACCAAACATCGTTACTAATTCTGAATGTCGTTCTGCCATTTGAAGACATCGGATAATAATACTCATACAGACAATAGTTGTCGCTGTATATTTTGTCTGTATCATGACGAATGTCTTCTCTTACAATTGTTTTATCCTGGACCCTATTATTCACAGATTTTTGATATTTAAACGTATTCGACACTGCACGTTACAAAATTGTCTCAATTCATATTTTTCGTCCTATTTTAATTTGATTTGATGACAGCTTTGTCTAGATCTGAGCCCTTACAATACCCGGAAGTGTAAAGTATTGGGAAACAACACATAAAATAGTAGTTAAAATAATGACATTGATATTAATTAATTAAACTCAAAATGATTCCTAATCAAGCATTTACAGTGTATCATATGACTTCGATCATATTGTTGACTTAATTAATTGGGTAGTAGCCACGTCTAAAATGTAACCCTGCTACGACACTCTATATACAGGTATAAAATAAACCGTTAACACCATTTTGAAATGAAATAACAACACATTTATTTGTTATTAAAAACAAAGGATATTCAACAAAACACAAATCATGGAAAGTGAGAAGTGAGAAATAATATCACTTTGATAAGTATAACCAACATACCTTGATGATTGATTTGCTTTGTGTTTTTATTGATGATTGAACCATGTCACAGTTCATTGATTCAATCATTTAAAACATATAAACTTTATTACCGTATGCATTTCTGTACAACGGAAAACTAAATGAAATCCATGTACCTCTCTAAACAGAGAAGTCCGAACAGGAAAAAAGTTCAAATGTAATTTCCTGTGTATTTATATCATGTTTGACAGTTAATTATCTTGATTTATTTTGAGGCAGGTAACGAAAGTAAACTTGGACAGATTTAGGACTATGGTCAAATATTGTTAAACAGCATTTCCAGTGTTTTGATATGGAGGTGACAATGTCTATGTACTCAACAGTAAATAAAGATACAAAGCAACAAAAAGGAACCGACCTCGTGCTATATCCATAAAAGTTTGTCGATCAGCAACGATCTTTTGGAAATTACCAAGTCACAACATACACTGAACTCTTATGGTTTGGTAAGCTAAAAACATATCTGTCTGCAATAATCATCAATGTGTCACTTACTTAAACTATAAAATGTGTTACTTAAAACTTTACACTGTGTCAAATAAACTTAACATTGCCTCACATGGTCTAGTAAATACTTTTTCAGTATCTGAAATCGCTAACATGATCCGCATGTTATTGTAAAATGATAATTATCTTCCTTTTTTTCTTATTTTTTTGGGGGGTTCGGTATTCATCTGATAGTTATAATTTCTTCCTTATATGATGTTAAATATACAGATTTGCAACAATAAATACCTTTGATTTCTCTAAGACTCTATTACATTGGGGATCGTACAATTATAATGTCTTACAGGTCAAGGCAGTCCTCGTATTTTTCGGGTTAAACAAACAGTCATTGTTCATGAGATATAATGTAACAATTTGTATTGAAATGTGCTACGGTATTGAAAAGCTTTTTATTTGTTTGATGTAAATTTCAGATTTACCATGGAATAGTTATAAACAAATATCTTTGCCGACTAAGATGTATTCATAAATAACTTTACCCTCCTCCCCGACTATTATGATGTATTTATAAGTCAATAGAAATGCTCTTGCCTACTTCTATATATACAACAATAGTTTAAGTTGATTACTATGTTATATTAGTATATATCACTGTTACTCAATTTGAATGGTCTTCAATAATAATATGTTTTATCCTTGGTGATGCAACAAGCTATTTCGTTAGTTTGTAATGTAATTTGCAACTGTAGAACCGTGACAGATTTTCCAAAAACGGATTCACAAAACGCATCATATGAAAGAAATTGTTGACAAACGACAAAAAAACCTATTTACTATAACAGAGTCATTGGGCCCTTACCGGGATGGGCACGCCTGAAATCACGCACGTTTTTCACCATTTCAATGTTCCGTATGTAGCTACATTATGTACCCTATGTACGTAGCTACATCATCTCCCCTATGTATGTAGCTACAGCATGTACTCAATGTATGTAGTTACAATATGTACCCTATATATATAGCTACATTATTTACCCAATATATGTAACTACATTATGTACCCTATGTATGTTACTACATTATGTACTCTATGTATATAACTACATTATGTACCCTATGTATGTAGCTACAGTATGTACCCTATGTATGTTACTACACTATGTACCCTACATTTGTATGTATGTAGCTACATTATGTACCCTATGTACGTAGCTACATCATCTCCCCTATGTATGTAGCTACAGCATGTACCCAATGTATGTAGTTACAATA